CTTTTTGCTAAGGAAGATTGGCCCTGGGCTAACATCCGTGCCCATCTTCCTCTGCTTTATATGTGGGACGCCTGGCACAGCATGGCTTGATAAGCAGTGAGTAGGTCCATGCCCGGGATCTGAACCTGTGAACCCTGGGCCACCGAAGCTGAGTGTGCGAACTTAACCAACATGCCACTGTGCCAGCCCGTTTTTAAAAATTAGCTTACTAAAACTGTAAAACCCAAAATCAGACTTGGTGACTAACTTCAAATAAAGATAGGCCCTCATTTATTAACACAGACATAATAATTTGTGTATTGTAGCTATTTAAAAAAAAACAACTATAAGACATGACTCTTGGACATAACTGCTCCTTTGTCATCTGGGCTCTAGCACTCATGAACTCTTCCTGCTCCAGACCTCCTCTGGGTTGCTTGTCCTACTGCCCTACCTGCCCTACTGCCCAGAATCTTCTTCCACTATTGCCATGGAAGCAAAAGGATCCATTGGTGTTGGAGCCACCTCTTCATCATACCAGGAACCAGCTTCCTCCTTCCACTAGGACTTTAGCCAGCCTTACTCCCCCATGCACTGAAAAAGATCAGGCTAGAACTAGTCATCTGCTAAACGGACTGATGGAGTTTTGGGGGCATGTTTAGATACATAACCATCGTTTACAACATTATTTGTATGGGAATGTAGTCAATTTATTTTGGAATGTATGAAGAATAAGTAGATTCTCGTAGTCATGATTCTTGATGATCAGCATGGCACATATCTAACGGCCGATGGAATCTCAAGAGTTATGTCCTAGGGAATTCAGAGTCCTATATTTTAAAGTAGGGTTCAGATTAGGATGATCTATTCAAGTATTTTTCTAATATAAGAATTATTCAAAGTCATTTAAAGTATTAAAATACAAGGTTGCAAATAAGCTAATAAAAATGGCAACTGGCTAAGAAAAAAGTTTGAGTTAATGCACAAAGTTCAACTATGATAATAAATTATTAGTGATTCAAAACTCAATTAAATTAAATGTTTCCTTATTAACTCAAGGACGGAGACTTAAAATTTACCTGTATTATTTTAACTATTCAATGAAAGTATTTGAAAACAACATCATTAAAACAAACAGAAACAAAAAGCCTGATTTAAAATCTTTACTCCATGTAGATTTCTGCATGAGGGCTTTAATATATGCATTTTATAAAATACATTTACTGGTTATAATCACAAAAACCGATTACTGCAATTCTTTCTTAACCAATAGGTTAATAACTACAGTCATGCGTCACTTAACAACAGGGATATGTTCTGAGAAATGTGTTGTTAGGAGATTTTGTTGTTGTGCGAACATCACCAAGCATACTTACACAAACTTAGATGGCATAGCCTACTACAAACCTAGGCTATATAATACTAATCTTTTTTTTTATAATTTTATTTATTTATTTTTCCCCCAAAGCCCCAGTAGATAGTTGTATGTCATAGCTGCACATCCTTCTAGTTGCTGCATGTGCGACGCGGCCTCAGCATGGCCGGAGAAGCGGTGCGTCAGTGCGCGCCCGGGATCCGAACCTGGGCCGCCAGTATCGGAGCGCGCGCACTTAGCCGCTAAGCCACGGGGCCGGCCTCAAAGCTTATTTTTAATGCTGCACCAGTTACTGGGCTT